TCCTTCCCTCAGAGCCTGGGCAGTCCCACCAGCGCCGTGCTGACAGCGAAGTAGGGGCTGGGGGCCCTTTGCGGAAGGGCCCTGCAGGGACCACCCTTCTCCTGCCAGTCGGTAGCAAACCCCATCGTGCTTGCTGTGGAGAGGGGTAAGATGGGTAAGACGGGCTGCGCCGGGCACAACTCTGCTAACTTAAAGGGAATGGTTATTCTGGCCTAACCCCACCCTGCCACAACCCATCACAAACCTTACTGCCAAACACTCGGACTATAACATATGTGTCAATCTATATTAACAGCCCAGGTCGAGGAGCCATCCTGTGTCTGGTGTCCCAAAGCGAGATATTTGGGCTCCTGCAGACTACAGGAACTCTACTGCATACAGACCTCCAAAGGGGCGGCTCTAACACTTTCTTCTTTCAGTACTAAATGCTGCCTGAACCACAGAGCAGTGACCGCAGGCTGCGACTGTCAGTGTCACCCCTCTGCCTACAGGAGGGTAACTGAAAAGCAGCCCCCTCGACAATTAATGAACCTGTCTCTGACAGTAAATGGGCCTCTGCTGATTTGAATCCCTGTCGGGACACTGGTTCTGAGCACTTCTGCTGACTCCCAGTCAAATATTTGTGACTGTTCCTTGGGTGTTGTTCCAGCTTCTTCAGTGGTATTTACGCCAGCGATGACACTCTAGAAAAACAGGGCGGGGGGGGGGAAACCAGAAGAGTGTTAGCACAGTGCCATGCTCTACGCGCCAGCGATGACACTCTAGAAAAACAGGGCGGGGGGGGGGGGAAACCAGAAGTGTGTTAGCACAGTGCCATGCTTGGGCACTACGTGAGCGTGCTTTGCCCAGCAGCGATGAGCAGGAGACTGACTGCAGCCTCCTCTGTTTATGCGCTGTAGAGCTGCGCGTGAAAGCAAGTCCTGCTGGGGAAACTACACAACCACCAGTAAATCTCTTGTCAGTTATGAGTAAATCCAGGGAACGGGCGCTTGGTGTTGGAACATCTCCTCCCTCTGCTTTGTGCAGGGTTTAAAAGTGCTCCCGACAGTTCCTGGAGCTCTCCAGGGAGAAGCTGTGAATCAGCAACTGTTATCACCAACTTTAACTAAATTCCTCTGCCTACCTAAGCCAGGTCAGAATACTGTTCTCTGAGCTCTGGTATTAGTCTTAACTGTGAAGTATTTTTAAACTATTTCAGAGCTTGAATTAACACGAATGGCAAATTGACTTTCCACCTACTGCAAAAGGGGGAATTGCCTGAAATAAGACAGATACCAAGAAGGAAATCTTACTGATGTGCTGATAGTTCCAGACATAGCTGAGGAGGCAGTATCCAGCCAGCAGCATGGAGATCCCAGCCGGTCCGCCCCTCTTCACGTTGATGTATTTGTCATAATAGCTGCTCCAGGCTGTTGGAACAGAAATGCAAGGGTCAAATCACGCACAGGTCTTATGGAGTTCACTGGTTTCCGTGTAACTTTCCAAAGCCAAATGGTTGGGTCTATCAATTTATTTCTTTATAAAGATCCAAACTGGCCGCTTGGACCAGGCTGCAGCAAGTGAATCAGGTAAGTGGGACAATTCTGCCCCAAGAGCTGGGAATTTACCTTTCTGCACTCCTCCAAGCAGCCCCTGGGGAGACAAGTCGCAGGTGGCCAGCCACGTGGGCAGCTCCCCCAGCCTTACATCCATCAGGCGCCTTTCTGCGAGGGGACCTGTGCGATGAGAAGTCAGAGTGGTCAAAGGCAGGAAAGTGAGGGCAACGCGTGTGGTGCTCTCGTGTTCCCTGCACCGGGTGCTGAGCATGGAGCCGGTTATCTGGTACAGCTGCAGGAGACTTGGGCCTGACTGCTCAGAAAGGAAGAGCGAATTGTCTCTCCCACAAAGTGAGTTGGCTCCACCAGCCCCAACATGCAAGAGTCTGTCTTAAACCTAAAGAGAAATGTAAACCGTTGGTTTTGCAGGCTGGGGGGTTGGACAGTTAACCTCCTTGGATCCTTCCTGGATCACTTGCTGGACAAGCCCACCAGCTTAGAATTTCCTACCCCTCCTCTCCCATTCACATCAGACAGTTTAGCCTGACGGTGCAGTAAATCTCAGCAGCAGAGACTTTTGTTTCTCACATTACCTTGCCGTCCCTCTGAGAAATTGCCCTTTGGTATCTTTGTTGTGATCCCCACATCTTCTTGGAAAGGCTTCCCTTGAAAAATACTCAGCCCGTCATAATTAGGATACAAGTCTGGAAACCACTCCAAGCCCATGGCACCTGCCGGCGTGCTCCTGCCAGAGGCCTGGGATAGACAGATGGGTTGGCTTTTGGAGGTGTGGAGCAAGAACTGGTGTAGCGCCAGCTCAGTGTCCCTCCTCGCATTCAGGATGGGCTCAGAAGCTACAGCCATCTGCTCCTTGCTCTCTCGAAGCTTTTGTATGCTGGTTAGGTAATTTTTGGATGTCCCTTCATTGTGACCTCTGAAACCCTCTATCACTGACAGATGGAGGTTCTTGGTATGCAAAGCAGAAAGAGGGGCTTTACATTCCACACCAACTTCTAGGTACATCTGCTTCTCTTCTGTCACAGTTTTGTCTATTCCCTTCTGCTGAACGAGGTCACCAGGGCTATTGCTGCAGTCAGCTTCAGGGGGATCTTTAAGTACGGGTATTTTTATTGCCTTTAAACTACTGCCTTTTTCTCCCTTTGAGCTTGCAGGCGCATTCTCCACAGCTCCGAGGCCGCGCGTCTCTGTGTTTGCGGTTTCTGGAACAGTTATTCCCTCCCGTGGGTCAGGCTGGGCTGCGTCAGTGGGGTCAGCAGCGCTGCCTGGATGCGGCCCTTCCACAGGCGACCTGTCTGCATTGTGGCTTCCTGCCGAGACGCCCCTGCTCCTGGAACCACTCTTCTCCCTGATCACCCTGGCGCGGTGCTTCTCTATTACTATTTTCACTCCATTACTCAGCTTTTCGGGTATACCTTTAACCTCCTCGGGAGGCAAATCAAGGGACTTGGCTACGTCCTGTACCGCGGGCTCC